AGATGAAAGACTCTTCCTTTGAAACACTGTTCTTCAGATCAGCCATTGATTCCGTCTGAGAAAGACAACTGCGGTAATGTATGGGTCCGGTCAGACAAAAGTTCTGCAGAGCCCCGTGTGAACAAGTAATACTGTCAGGGTGATAAACGGAACAAGACAACGTGGTGGCTAGAGGTTATTATTTGTATGTCATGGTGCCAGTGACCATTCCACATTGAAAGGGTTTCAGAGGGTTCTTATCGAATATCGTGTCACGGAACGTGTTACAGTTACATTCTTTACTGTGTCAGACACGTTGTTCCTGGTATATTCATTTCAGATATAGCATCAGCAAGAATGTTGCAGTAAATCAGCAGTAGATCTTGTGGTGAACATGGTGTCGGGCAAAATGTTACAGCAAATAATGTGTCAAACAATATGTAAAAGAAATCCTCAGACAGCGTCATCAAAGTGCTACAGAAAAGCATAGCGTCATACAAAGTGCTGCTGAAAACAGCGCCATAGGAAGTGCTAGAGAAAACATAGTGTCATACAAAGTAGTACAGAAGACATAGCGTCATACGAAGTGCTACAGAAAACATAGTGTCATACAAAGTACTACAGAAAACATAGCTTTATATCAAAAAGGTTAAAGTAAATTTAGTGTCATACAAAGTGCTAAAGTAAACATAGTGTCATACAAAGTTCTACAGTAAACATAGTGTCATACAAAATTCTACAGTAAACATAGTGTCATGCAAAGTGCTACAGTAAACATAGTGTCATAAGAAGTGCTAAAGTAAACATAGCGTCAAAGTGCTACAGTAAACTTAGTCTCATACAAAGTGCTACAGTAAACATAGTGTCATAAGAAGTGCTTAAGTAAACATAGCGTCAAAGTTCTACAGTAAACTTAGTCTCATACAAAGTACTGCAGTAAACATAGCGTAACAAACAGGCTAAAGTAAACATAGTGTCAAACAAAGTTCTACAGTAAACTTAGTGCCATACAAAGTACTGCAGTAAACATAGCGTCACAAACATGCTAAAGTAAACATAGTGTCAAACAAAGTTCTACAGTAAACTTAGTGCCATACAAAGTACTGCAGTAAACATAGCGTCACAAACATGCTAAAGTAAACATAGTGTCAAACAAAGTTCTACAGTAAACATAGTGTCATACAAAGTACTGCAGTAAACATAGTGTCATGCTAAGTACTGCAGTATACATAGCGTCACACAAAGTGCTAAAGTAAACAGCGTCAAACATTATACAACAATGAACATAGTGTCATGCAAAGTACTACAGTAAACAGAAGCACAAGACATCGTACTACAGTAAACATAGTGTCATTCAAACTGCTACAGTAAACTTTCTGTCTTACAAAGTGCTGCAAAAAATATAGCGTCATACGAAGTGCTACTTTAAACATACCGTCAGACAGTGCTGCAGTATTTTTGTAAACGGACATGGAACCATTTTGTAGGCGGACGATTGTATTTCCGGGGCGGGTACAAAATTGTTTGTGTAAATATACACTCAGCCACCATCTGTTTGAAGAAATGAGTATTTCATGAGCAAAAGCCATAATCTTTGAGGCAGAGATATGAGGATGAGAGACAGTATGATGTTCCACTTGTGTAGTATCAATTCTAATGTTGCATTTCAAGAGGCAATAAATACACGTAACTGCGCTGTAGCTATGAACAAGGTTATTGACTCCACTTATTACCGCAATGCGATGCTGAAACAGATCTTGACTGTGATGTAGAATGCCCACTAAGCCATTGAGCATCATTCACCTGAAATAACATACAGCATAAACATATAAATCATAGGTTATTTTTCCATAACCTACAATGACAAGCAAAAGAAACGTTACCACAAAATAACGTGTATCCCTGAAAACAGAACAAGACTAGTATTTGGAGCACCACCGTGTCAACACAAGTCATGCTGTGAATGGAAACAGACATGTTTGGAGGATGGGGTCAGATGTTTAGTAACAGCCGTCAAGACTGAAACCTACACAATAGCCTCCCTTATTTCTTGCAGGATGTCACACTTGCAGTATCGTGGGATTACGGGATTAAACGCCATTATTGTCGATGGGCCTGTGCTAAATAATCCCTGTTACAAGGCCTCTAATTTCACAGTAACGAGTGTAATATAGGTGATAGGCTTGGTGATTGTGCTGGCCTCCTTTGAGGTCTTGTGGTTTCTTGCTTACACAGGGTCTGAGAAGTTTTTGCAACAACGGTAGCGTAGAGAGATGGTCAGTGTGACGTTGTTCTGTCTTATTTCTTTCCCTAGACACCACATCTATCTCCAGTTTCTGTTCTACCAATGTAGCAGAGTTCTAAGCCTAGCCATGTCGGTGTTCTGGTGTCCGTGTCCCGTTTCAAAATGGTCTCTGAGCTCTGACACTGTACATTGTCTTCTGGACTCTGTCCAGCCGCGGACATGATGAAGCTCGTAGATGATGATATCACCGTGATAACACAAGTAACATGTTAATGTCCAACGGCTATATGTGAATGAGCAGAACATCTTTCCATTTATATTCATAAATGCATAGGTTGACATGCACCAAGCGCTTCACTTTAAACTCGAATTCCACTGATCGAATTCCAGCACCTTCATTACAGAGCAAACTGTTTAATTTGGTTGACATGTTTGATTTGTTTTCAGCAATTTTATAACACTATTCATAGTTGGGCCCAAGTTTTCAGTTTGGTAACGTTTCTTTAAATGGTCAGTATACGCCAATACTTATGTTGTCATCCACAATCTTGAGATTTGGAAAGTATGTCCTCCCTCAGCAGGAGAACAAATATATCGACCTAACTAGTTTTCTGCGTTTTTAGCAGCGCATGCATGGTTTTGAAAACATGTTCTTCTGTTATATATAATTGCCTTATTATACCGATGTTTCCAATGTACTGTTTTAAAATCTCATATATCTCTACAGTTTAATAAGATTAGTGGGCAGTGAGAAGTGTTTAACATTCCTTTCGTTTAACATTTCCTTTTCATGCATCATAACGAAATCACTGGTCTCTGTTATGAAGAAAATAATCTCAGGGACTATAAACCAAGGGAAAATATTAACTTTACAGAAGGCAGAATGTTATTTCGAAAATGTAAGCAATAGATGGCATTTCATTGTACTTGTCTCTATCTAATAAAGCTTTGTGAGGTAAGGTGGCTTCAATTACCAATCGGCATTACGAATCGCTAAATGCCCATGTAGAAATACTGGGAAATCATTACACACATTGCCCTTCTGCCCATGATGACAGAGAGCATAAAGTTTAACATTGTTCCATGAGGAACTAAACAAGTTTCATTGAACATGGTCTTAGAGAACAGAAGATTTGCATCAGAGTGCATTACACTTGGTGGCAATGGCCATTAAAGATTGAGTCAAACGGTGTCAGAAGACACTGAACAGATAATGCTGAACAGGAATATTTGCAGAATGTTTGCAAGTTTGTGGCAACCAACATTAAATATGTTATGTGAAAATATGGATCATATGTTTCACTTCTTCGCCCTTGTCGGAGACATCTTGAAGTTTATTGTGTAAGAGGCTAAACAAATTGATGGGAAGAAATTGGAGGTCAATATCGTTTAGTAATTTCCCTCACATTAATGCTCAATCCACCAATGCCTCATTCTCTAAATGCCAAAGTTGGAATCACCAACCCTTAAGCCCCATTCTACTTCCAGAATATCTGAAATGTTAGAGAAGAGTATATGCACAAAGGCTGGCTGGATGTCGCCATGTAGATATGTAGATCCCTAGGCAGTTATGAAATATGTTCAACACACAGAGGGGTAACACTTACTGACTTTCAGCATGAAATAGCCATTGCACCAGTGGCATTCCGTGTTGAAAAAACATATAAACCTCATTTAAACCACTTGAGGAATGATAGTCGTGTTCCGTTTGGTAATATTTATGTCTGGTTCTTAAGAATATGGAATTAATATTCCTGGCGTTATGATGTCTCGTATCGGCTATCAACAGCTTGAATAGCGGCTCAAGTCGTTTGTCTCACTTTCTACAGTCTATCGACAGGAGTGTATAAACGAGTATTTGTATAATGTATTATGAAGGATGGTGGAGGACGAGTTAAAGAGGTACACGAGTTTGTATGTGTGCGTGCGTGCGTGCGTGCTTGTGCGCGTGTGTGTTTGTATTGCCTTACTTAGATAAGCAAGATATGATCGAAACTATACTAGATACAAGTGTTTGTGTAGCCTGATGTAGGTTAGTATTATATTATAAAAACTAGAGGTACACGTGTTTGCGTAACCTCGGGTAGTTGTGTCGGGTATGATCAAATTTGATGGAAATTGTGCAGGCTTTGTGAGGCTTTATGTCGGCGTGGTGTAATATGTTATATGTTTGGGCAAAGAGATCCAGCAAGTTGTGTGTTTGGTGTTAAGGACACACTCAGCAATATCCCTGCTTTCTTTACATATTCGAGAAAATACTATCCAGTAAGGTGACGGTAACTCCCATACTTTACCATCGACTTAAGGTAGTCTTATAGACTAACAACTAGTCTCTGAAATGAAAATATTTTACAGAAAAAAGCTCATAATAAAACAATAAAATATAATGAAAAGGAGCCCTGAGACTTTCTTCGCCACATTTTCTAGATTTGCGTGGGCTGTCTTGGATATATTTGCTTCAGGGTCTGTATGACAGACTAGTAGTCTTAGTGCTGAGGTTGTTTTGTACAACAGCACCCAGACCCCTCAGCGCGACGATTTAGACAGTGAGGCGGGAATGACATTCCCACATTATAGACCGTATTACAAATGGACCTGTACAGTGTCCCATGTGTGTGTTACAGGCAAATGGGATTCCATATGGTGCTGGATTTGCAACCGATTTGTAGATTTGGTGCCATATGATGTAAGGAGGGTAAATATGGTGCCGCATGTAATACCTTGTTGCGAGTCACATTGTGGATCGTTTGTATGGTCTATAATGTTGTCATTTCAGAGGCTTCATCGAGTGGTGCGGAGCGAGGTGCTGTACTCACAGAAACAAGCAGCCCAGGAGATGATGAAGATTGTCAGAGAGAGGGATTTTACCAGACTCATCCAAAAACAGGAACTGCAGAAACGGGTGTGTTGTGCATCCCTTGTATTAACAACGTTGTTTCCTGCCCTGTATAATCTGGTGTGCGTAAAACATATACTTCCCATCAAAAGTTTAGACTCACTAGTGTAAATATAGCCACTTACTTCAGGAAACTGTTCTAAACTAAATTTTGCAAAATATTCCATACTGTTTAAAGGTACTGTTTACACATGAACTGATGTATTGTAAAATAAATTCGTACAGTTGAAAAGATTATTGTCATGAGTTCAAGAAATGATAAAACTCAGTGAAAATTGGCAAATTCTTAACAAAACTTTACACCAAAACGCAGCTGTTCACATGCATGATATTTGCACATGCTTTTCAGCAGTTTGATGCATGATTTTTGTGCAATTCACCTGCATAAGGTTTGCAGTTGGTTCCCTCAAGTTAGTGGAGAAATCAATCTTCGATGTAACCATATATATACAGTGTTTTAAGTGAGTCTAAACTTTTGATGGGAAGTATATTTAGCAATCACGGCGGGGGAGGCCAGGGCTGCACACTATGGCTGGGACGGGTAACCCGGATACCAGGGATGGGTGGGTGATGAGTTGGACCCAGGAACCCGTCTCAACACCCGGACCCGTTGTGATCATGTGACCAATAGATTAAACAATGTAATATGTTATTCTATAACGGGTATCCAGGTAGGGTAGAGTAATAGGGGTGGGGTACCCGGGTAGAAAATTTGGACCCGTCTCAGCCCTACTGCACAAATTGTATCCATGTGGGGAATCGAATCCGGGTATTCGGCATGACAAGCAAACGTCTCAACCACTAGGCTACCCCACCCCCTAAGAAACAGGAAGAATGTGTAGATGATTAATTTAACTACTTCTCAGTTAATCGCTTCATCAGGGATTTTTTAATTCATTACTGACGTGCATGGAATGTTAAAGGAACAGACACGTGCATGACGTTGAAATACTTCGTATAAGGATAAAAGGGATTGGTCACTGTGTTTAGATGCTGTAGGGTACATCTCTCATGGGAGTACATGGGAGTGTTAGATATTTGTAGGATATTTCATTTCGACGATGGCTCCAGATTGACATCACCTCAGTAATGTCACTGTATGGTTCATGCTTGTTTCCAGGGTAATAATAGTGACTTCACTTTCGAGTGCCTTCAATTCTCTTAGGACCTTTTTAGTATTTGGTTTACGGTGCTGGCGTTCCAAAAATTCACAAGTAAATTGTAATTAAAATTTAAAGAAGAAATCTTTTTCCTCCCATCGCGTCTGTTAACGAATTTCATTACTATAAAAAAAACTTTCAAAGCAGATCGATATTAGAAGGGAAGGAACACTTTCAGTTGTCGTTCAAAGAAACAATCCAAGAAAGAACGATTCCTTCATTTCGTTTTTTATTCCTCCCCAGCTGTTTTTGCAATTTTACTTTCAATTTCATTTCGCCCATCAACCCCACATTTTTATAGGAAAACTCGTAAATTGGGTAATTGCAAAAGGACTTCAATATCCCAGTAGAATGCATAAAACGAGTGTGTTAAACTGTGTGTCCACTACGTCCACTGTCCCAGACGTTGATGTCGCGTCTCGCTCTACTTCACAAACACGAAGTTGTGTCTCACCCAATGTCCCTATGGCCTCAGTGAAGTCGCGACTCGGTCTACGTCCAAACACGAGGTCGTGTCTCACACAATGCCCCTATGGCCTCAGTGAAGTCGCGACTCGGTCTACGTCCAAACGCGAGGTCGTGTCTCACACAATGCCCCTATGGCCTCAGTGAAGTCGCGACTCGGTCTACGTCCAAACACGAGGTCGTGTCTCACACAATGCCACTATGGCCTCAGTGCAGTCGCGTCTCGCCCTACTTCACAAACACGAAGTCGTGTCTCACACAATGTCCCATATAGCCTGAGTAAAGTCGCGTCTCGCCCTACTTCACAAACACGAAGTTGTGTCTCACACAATGTCCCTATGGCCTCAGTGTACGTCCAAGTCGCAGACTCGGTCTACGTCCAAACACGAGGTCGTGTCTCAGCCAATGTCCCCACTGGGCGGCGGTTTTCGACAATGCTTTGATGCGCATGAGAACACCCGAGTGAGGTGAAAGATTAACAAGCCGTAAAACCAATCCGATATTAAACTCAATGTCGATGTGAGCATGCGTTGCGTGAATGAATAATTCACGGGCTTGCAGTCAATTGATTCTCGTAGTGTACAGTAGTGGTAACGTATATTGCGAAGGCGCGTTGGGCATGTTCGCGTAAATCAGCGACGTCATCGAGCAGCGTGCTCGCGATCTGAAGTGCGACATCGTAATATCGCAAACTTCCGCCGTCTTCGAAACCGCTGCGGTCGCTTTAAGGTCTGATTCAAATATGATGATTCGCAGCAAACCGCCAGAACGGTTTCGGGACTTCGGTAAGGATCGGTTGCGATAGGAGGTGAACGGTTTTAAAGATTCGCGTCATATCGCTCGATATGTTCCACCAAAGTCAGCGACGACATCCGCGGTCATCATAATCGTTCCGATGAAGCACCATTCGCGGGGATCAACAGCATGAGCATCTATTTACACAACTGGGATGCGATGACATGTGTCAACCAGGTCAGCGAGCCTGACCACCCGATCCCGTTATTCGACTCTTACGACAAGCATGGGTTGCTGTCGACAAATTCTTACCGGGATCTTCACGGGTCTATTCTTGGGGATGTATAATATTTTATATTATTGATGACCATAATGATAAGTTATTACAATATGTCTCGAAATTCTTCTTTCTTTTTATTGTTAGCGGATGCCCCGTAAGAAGGAAAAGACGCGGGCAGAAGTGTTCCAGGAGATAACAGCAAATATCGTCAGGTAGGTTTAATATACTTTAAAACACATCTTGCTGGGATATGATAGGAGGTTTACATTAACAATATAGCAGTTTTCTTTATGCGAGCTCTATACGAAGGTAATTGTCCTTTTCGGTTCAAATAAACGATGTTCACACATTAAGACGGTTTGAGTACTATATAAAGACTGACTGACTGACTGAGTTTGGTTTTAGCAATATTCCAACAATATCACGGCGGGGGACACCAGAAATTGGCTTCACTCATTGTTCCCATGTGGTGATTAACCACTAGACTACCCCATCGCCCCGCTATATAAAGAAAAAGCCTGATATGAATTAATCAATAAATAAATAGCTACATAATTGAATGAATGGATAGATGGATGGATGGAGGGTTGGTTGGTGGGTTTGGATGGATAAAACTGTGGGTGGGTGGATTGATGGGTAGGTGGGTGGGTATTTGGGTTTTGTAATGGGTGGATGGATGGGTTGGTTTGGATGGGTAGGTGAGTTTGGATAGATGGATGGATAGATAAATCTGTGGATGGTGGGTGGATGGGATTGGATGGATGGATAGGTGGGTGGGTTTAGATACATGGTAAAATCGGTGGGTGAATGGATGAATCGATGAATTAATGAACGAACGAACGAACCCATGACTATAAGGGATAGTGGTAGGGCTATGGATAATCGATGTAACTCAGTGAGTCTGTAAGTGAAAAACATGCTCAAGTAGCTGGTTGATGACATGCAGTTGCCCGAGGAAACTAAGACACCCCTGATCAATACTGAAATATTTCAAAGACTGGACCAAAACACAGGTGGCCGTAACGGACCGCCAGGCCAGATTCCCACCAATTCCGTCCCCTCGTGTCTAGCTGCGTTGGAGATTCCCGCCACTTTGGCTGATGTTGGTGTAGCGAGCTGTTATCATGATACACTCTGGAGACAGTCTTTTAAGTAAGGCACTTTCTCTTCCTCCCCTTTCCATTAGCCACGGGATACAGTTTCAGAAATAACTCCTTCTGATTGAGATTTGTCGCCTATTCCTACGACTAATGATTTGCGTACGCGGAGTCCTGCCAATGCAACCCTTGTGCTATTCTTCCAGCGGACTCTCATTACATATACAAGTTCACAGAGTTACCCGTCATCGTCCACCCAATTTCCTAAAAACTTGATCCGTAGATTGTAGATTCCGTGGCAAGTAGGTGTAATAAGCCCCTTTCGCAATCACAACCGTCACAGACTGGCATTCCGTCTGAAAGCTCATCTTCTACGGACGCCGACGTAGCGTGGTTTGTGACGCTGACGCGCCGATGTTGGCGGCGGAACGCCAAGGTTCAAAGTTCAGATGACAAATTGCCATCTTGACAGGCGCTCTGTGAGATATCGATATCTAGTTGTGTGCGACCAGAGGCAAGTTTCAATCCAACGGTGATATCTCAAATCAGGAGGTTTGGTCCAGTTTGAAATAACGCTGTCATACAGGCGACGCCAAGCCCATAGAGGGGAGGAGGTCGTTTGCATTAAATTAATCAAGAGCGGGCGTTGTCCGGCTTGGCGGTGATGGTCAGTTCAGGGATGGTGCTATCTGGCCTGTCCTCCCTACACAGAATTGTGATGAGATTTAATATACCATCATGTAAAATCGTGTATTGCTTCCTCGTCTAATCCGCATTGCCCATATCTTAATGAAATAAAATCACTTGTGCCCGAGACTACTCAATAAAACTCGCATTTCTGTGAGACGAATACTGGGGTTCATCTGCAGGCTAAGGTTATTGTGTGGAAACTGCAGTGTGTATATACGAAGGAGCATATTTATCAGTCGATGGTAAAAGAAGATTAGATTCCGTCTCTTATTTCGCTTTTTAATCCGCATGGGTCTTTGGGTCTCATCCATTCAGAGAGTTATATGGGTACCATCTTCCTTAAATGCGTATAACATTGCATTTCACGACTGATCGATATCTATTCATCCAGTAAAGTCGTCTTATATTGAAGACTCTTTTCTAAACAGTCATTTCAATTCACAAATAAGACATAACTATTATCGATTGCAGCCACATCTCTGCTTTTGTCCTCATTCACACGCTTGTATAATGTACACATTTAGTCTTCAGAAGCCACAAACAACGTAAAATTACCTGAGCTCGTAATGATCATTAACGTATTACCTGCTCAGTAGACCTGTTACGTAACAGCGATGAATTATCACAATTTAAACGTCAATGCTTCCATAATGACTGAACTTGCAAATGCGCTTGCTGACCGATTAGTGTCTATGCATGTTTCAACACCAGTCTTTCCAAAAAGAAATATATCCTTAAATGTGACTTGATATCTAAAATTCCAAAGACGCATTCAAACTCGAAATGTGTCTCAGAAATAAACATACGTTCTCTGTATTTATTCCGAATATATTAGTCTGAAGGTATCATGTTGTAAAAACATCTTGATATGAATAAAAACATAAAGATCTGTTTTATGAAACACAGGACAAGAATTGAAATGAAGAAAAAATAACGAGGCATTTTATGCAACGATAGACCCAATCTAATTAAAGAATTGAGATGAAAAAAAGGTAACGAGGTACTATTTTATGAAACAATAGCTGCAATGTTTTTTAAAGAATTGATAAGAAGAAAAAATTGTGAGTTATTTATAAAACAATAGACCCAATCTAATTAAAGAATTTGACATGCAGAAAAAATAACGAGCTGCTATTTTATGAAATAATGTATTCAACGTTATTAAAGAAATGATATGAAGAAAAAAATATCAATTATTTATGAAACAATAGACCCAATCATTTCAAAGAAATCCAATACGTCCTTCACAATCTTCCCTAGTTTAACAAATCTGACTATGTTGATAATAGGGCTAAAAAGATGTGGACACGAACCTATATAAGTGCCGAAGATAAACAATAATACTATGAACTAGTAAACAAAACATGTGTCTATACAAACAACGTTGTATTGTAACATCGTCGTCAGTGTGTGTAACGTCATTGCGATTATGTATTTTTCAGTTACCACCGAGAAATGAAAAACGTCGTAGACTCTTTGGAGAACACGGGAGACCTTGAACCTGACATCACTGCAGATGCTACCGTAGACGTAAACAGAAAGGACTCATCCCACGACGATACCGCCAACAATAACGACATGGCGAATCAGTCGTACAACCACGACCGACGAGGTAGCGCGGCGACGTTGCAGGTTAGAGTCGAGGTGGAGGAGGATAGGGAAGGCGATGCTAAAAAGTTGGAGGACGAGGGTTCGGACCGTTATCCTACCCTTTGCCCTGTGTATCCATGCTTACCGGAAGACGCGTCAGAGGCCACGTTGTCTCAGGACTCCGCTGTTAACTCCGGGAGCGAGAGTTCCCCCGAGAACAGGAAGGGCGAGATCTGGGTGATATCAGATGGGTGTATCAATGATCCAGATTTGGTTGCACCTACTAGGAAATTTTCGGATATTGGTCCTCTGAGACCCGATAACAGCGAACTCCAGCGCGGAATACGGAGAAGCATGAGCCACGAGTACCAAACAGGGGACTACTTTCAACGCAATCTGAAACTGAAAGACAACAGGGTCAAATCGACTCTGCGACGTCACGCCATGTCGGGATACCAGGCGCATGTCCCCGTTGACTATCTTGACGAATGTACCATCGAGTCGCTGTCCAAGGAGGACTTGCTGCTGTTGTGGAAGAAGTCGGAGTTAGAGTTGCAGCGACGGCTGCGTGAGATACAGACGAGGAACAAGACCATGACCTTGGCTATTGACTATCTCATGAAGAGCCAGCAGGAGGAAGTGGGAGAAGAAGTCTGAACATTTGGGATACACGTCTGTTCTTCTCCTCCAGTGTTGCGTCTACCTGAACGACGCTATCAGGTTTGTCCCACTACCTGATTGGTCACTGACTGGTCATTGATTGGTCACTCCAGGCACTCCCGAACACAGATCAGTCAAGTTGGCACCGACGCACAACACGCCCTCATTACACGTCCAGATTTACTGCGTGAATATCATTTGTTTGTCTGTGTGTCTGTTTGGCCCTACACATGGGATTGTCACGTGACACCGTTCACAAGTGTCTGTTGGGCATATATGGCGTGTCTGAAAAGGTATTGCGGAAGTATAAAGTGTACTACTTGAATCATGAAAGACTGCGTAATGAATAATACTTTTTGGGGGACAAACGTTGCCCTCAGAAGGAAGCAGTGAGTGCTGGTTTGAAGGTATTCTTGATTTGCATCATGACATCACACGACACTAGATAACACGTAATGAATTATTAAGTCGGATTTGGTGGTCACTAGTCTGTAGCACTTTATTTCTGCATTTGCTGAAATAATGAAATTGCAGTTTCACATATTAAATACAACTCTAGTTGTTACTGATATAAATTGCCATCTCTTATTCAGATATTGCAAACAGAGTAACTCGTCCTTATTACCAAAACACAACCACCGCAACTTATTGATTTGTACCTTGACCTTGACCTTTACCTTGACCTTGACCTACCAAATACATCAAGTAATGAAGTAATTGAAGACAATGACTGTCGGGCAAAAGAAAGTATGCACTTAAAACTGGAGTTAACAAAACAAATGCTTAAAAAAAACCGACCGTTATGAAAACGGCACAGGGCTTAAAACAGTCACCGTAACACTACAAACTGACTGTCCAAAAAGAGTCATGATACCCATATCAAATACATCACTATCGAATAATCATTTATTGTTGTTTCATGTTTAGCCGCCATCAGACACAAGAGCATACTTTCTTTTCCAGGCAGTTTAGTATTGAACACGAATAAACATGTTGTTAACTGTCAATGTCAGCCATCATGCTGCTTGGCCTTGATCCACACAATAGATATAGAATTCATGAATATGCAGTCGGGATGTTAGTTGGTGGTATGTTTGCTCTATCTCGGAAAGAAATTGTGGAATTGGCTGTCGAGAGCAAAAAATCTTTGATGTATATATTAGAAAACATAGAAAATGACATGCAATAACTGTGTCAATCCGTCAATAACTGGCATACTGTTGTAAACGAGATTCTGTTCGATGTCTCGAGAACGGCAGTTGCCGTGATATATGCATATACAACGAAGGTGAGTACCATTGATGAGAAGTATATGCCCCCACACCATAACGTCCCTCCATGACCCTTGGTTGACATCAATATGCAGTCAGTCATCCTTAGTCGGCAAGGAGCAACAGCATCTTGTATCTTGGGTACCTTTGGTTTCAAATGTACCCGCTGATTTTCTTTCCATTTCTGAAATAGTTTTTTACGTATGTTGTAGACCAGTGTCTATGGTTTGAATTAAACTGCACTTGCAATATTGTGTATCTTTGTGTCCTATGTAACAATAACTAAAAAATATTGGGAGTATGAATTAAGAAAAGCTTTCGGAGTATGAATTGAAAAGGGTTCGGAGTGTGAATTAAGAAACAAGACATTCAGAGTATGAATTATAAAAGGATGCAGAGTATGAATTAAAAAAGTGTATTTTGAATTGGAATTGAATTGGAATCTCAACTGTCGGGGTATGAATTATATTTGAAAAACGTTCAGAGTTTGATCTTTGACCCATTCTGTTGATGCGTATCTGACATCAATTGTTACTATGTAATCTGTTTCATATGTACACTCTCGTAATTGATTGGGTTAATTTTGACATCAAAAGGAAGGTGAGATGAGCATCGTTCACATGAAACGTTAGAGGTAGTTTTAGAAAATAAATATTGAGACGATGTTCTAACTTTTACTAACATTAACGTGTTATGGCCAAAGAGATCAATATGAACGCTCGTGCTGTAAATAATTTTCTCTTACATGACCTTCCACGATTCTCTGGCTAGCGTATTTGCGTTTTTATATGTAAACAACTGTTCCATTCGTATTCCTTTTAAAATATTTTTAAAACAATAATGTGACCTCTTGCTTTTATACAGAATTGTTGTCTCTCACAGTTCATTGTTGGTTGAACCCTTACAGAATGAGGGTAAGATTTTATGAATATTGGAGCCTTGGATATAACACATGAATATTTCATAATTTGGAATAACTGAAAGGTTTAAGCAATAAACATTCGGATGGTCATTTTATTAGATATTATTGTCCGACGTGTAGTAATGACATGGACCCCATATTACACCACTTCCAAATAGGCCGCCAGAAACAGCGAGACCAGATTGGTTTCCAAAGTGCACCTGTGGCGCCTAGACTTTCATTGTAAGTTTTGAATAGAACGATCATTATAAGGTTTGCTAAATGCGGACGTAATTTCATAGATCATGTATGATGAATGGTTACGTGCGTAGAGACATTGGGAAAATAGTTTGTGGTGAGCATTCACTACTTATCTGCACGAATAGCCCAAGATTGTAAATATTTTATGTCTCGTGTCAAGAGCATAAACAATGATCATGTGCCATTATTAAAACAACATATAATTTTACATATTCCTTAGTGATACGTCATTTTCACAATATGTTTCCATACAGACTGTGAATGTCAATAGCCCATTCATTACCGCGTTATGTGTTGCTGCAAGAGAAGGATGCGTGATAAGATTGAGAATAATATCACCTGAACATAGACATTTTCCCAAATGCTTAGTGTCATATGAATGTTAAAGAGGGCTTTTGCCCTTTGTGAAATTGTCGCTGTGCTTTTTGTGTTAAAGAGCATGTCCACCGTGTTCTATCCGTAGAAATAAGCACTAAAATGGTTGATAAACCTTCATATATGTCGCGTTAAAGTTGATACCATTCATAGGAACAATGTTCTTTCAATGGATTCTTTGATTTAAAATTACAAATCGTTTGACTGTTTTGCATTAATAATGTTAAACATATATGTTTTAATGTATGTGCAATCCAAAGAATGAAAATAAGGGTACGTCATGATATGCGTATCTATGAGAGTAATCAGGGTTGGTACGTTGTAGGGACTACGTAATGAAGGCATTCGCAGAGCTCTCCAGATAGTAGAGGGGTTGGTTTCTATGGCAGCTTGTTATGACGTATCGGAACTGTGTTACCTATCGTTATCAAGATATTTGTATAAATATACTGTTATATTTTCAAGAGTATGTACTATTGTAATTGTATGTGTAATTGTAGTTAATTACTTTTTCAACAGAATGCCGCTATGTACAGAGCATCCTAGCACATTGTTAGATACTCGACGTTCACTCTTTTAATTATACGAATCGTCTTGGAATTGTTACAGCATTTTTATGTTTTACATACCTCCAAATTGGTTTGTCTGTTACATTTTTGTGACAATTACAATTTTTCAATGGTCACCATATTTTGTGGAGAACAATAATTATGTGATTTGAATAGATTGGTTACAATACCTTCATGTGAACTCGTTTGTAATTATTCATTATTTAAATAAGAGTCATAAGCTACATTACACATGCTGTATTGCATATCAAATACGTTGTCGTTGTTGTCATTAGAGTATATTAAAGGTTTAAAATTTTACAACTAATTTTTTAACCCCAACCAGTTCATAATGTACTTTTTTGGAATCCTGGATTCGTCCTGAAATGAGGATTCTTCGTTTGTCTGCATCTTGCATCCCTTCAGTCCTTGCTCCCACGCCGTGTTATAACTAACTGTAATACCGTTTAAAGCGGCGCTCAACCAACATCGCTCACTCTCTCTTAAAACACAGCAAACCATTATCATGCATTGGTTGCAGTTAACCTCTTAATTTCGGACTTTGCTAGTGGACCCAGTGACAATGAAATAATCAAACTGAACAAGTAAGGTGAGCTTCAGTACCCCACAGTTTACCCTATAAGTCATCAGGTTTGAATGTGTTTTGTCTCTATGATATATTTGTTGAAATTCATCAAATGTGTTTGCTTAGTCCATAGGCTCCCCTTCCTTGTCTTTATACAACACGTGTCTGCTCACGCTGATTAATATCGCTGCTGTTGGCAGTGGAGATCGGGTCTGAACGGGCAAATCGTGATTGGTGGTATCAGCACTTATCGTGGTAGAAATGTCACAGCTAGAGATATGGTCCTAATGTTAACGGGTGGCATGGCTGGCCATTGCAGTCCAAACTCGTGCAAATTAGAATCCTTTACTCGTGCAAGAACCCGGCTGTCATTGGTTCGATCCAATGGATCTTCAGTACAATGCATGTGTTCACAGAAGATGAAAACGTTAATGAAAGTGTCACTATTGGCTTTTGTCATGTTGAAATACTGTTCAAAGCGGCTTGAAACCTATTTCACCCAAATGATCTCGGTTAACAGATCCGAATGTTAGACATGTATGGAGTTTTGTTTGTGTACATATGTTTATTATGAAGGGAAATGTTCTAAGTAATAGATTATATCTACAAATATTTTGACTGTGATTTTCCCCGTAACCCGGGTTTGTTTGTACATATACTCGAATGTAGAAGATCGCATGTATTTCGCAATAAAGACCTTCGTACAAGACAGACTCCTTTTTCATTTACAGTTAATGTCAAAGAAGAATCGCAAGGAAGCTAATCTTTGCTCATCTAACGTACGTGATCACACACTATTCTATTTAGACTATAAGAACTTTTCTCAAGATTTGGTGTGTCTGTTGTTTAACGACACCTGTATTCCGGCTAAATGACAGCTGTCTGTAAATAATCGAGTCTGGGCCAGACAATCCAGTGATCAACATCATGAGCATCGAACTACGCAACTGGGATACGATGAATGTGTCAACCAAGTCAGGGAGCCTGACCAGCACGTCACTTTCTCATGAAAATTAATTTCGGTTCTTATCCTCTGTCCGCAGAAATCTAACAAATCCTCCATACACATGAGTGATCCTCCCTCAGACGATCGGGGTAATGTTTGTTTTCAGTTTGGCCTTATAAAACATTGGATAGCCAGCAATGTGCTTAGATCGTGATAAACTTTTGGAAAACTTATGACGTGCTCATTTTCTTTCAAGGGTTCGCAGGATCTGCAATTGTAATGAGTGAAACCTGCATCATTCTTACACCGCAACAATACTTATGACGGTGACCCGTAATTACCTCAGGGATTGATAGTATGAGCAAAGGCCTCGACCAACCAGATTAGTGAAACTGACACCCGATCGATTTAGTCGTCACGTACGTCAATCATGGGATGCAGAGAGTTTTTCTCAACAAGAGTGAATGAGTTTAGTTTTGCGCTTCTTTTAGCAATATTCCAGCAATATCACGGCGGGGGACACCACAAATGGGCTTCAAACATTGTACGCATGTGGGGAATCGAACCTGGGTCTTCAGCGAGACGGGCGAACGCTTTAACCATTTGGTTACTCCATCGCCCCTTCTTAACAAGAATGCAACTGATTCAGTTAAAATAGACTTCCACTATAGCTCGGAACGAACCATCTCCGCTATAACTAGAGATAGAATAACAGGCAGAATAACATTGAAACATTGAGACGATACCTAATAGTGAACTGACTTCATCTTTTTATAAAGGTTTGGTTTCCTTCTAATACACCGGTAATTATAACTTTACGTACCATGTCTATTATTGAAAAGGAACAAATATATGGAATTACAACTTCCTTATTGCAACGGTTTTGGTGTAAATGCTTACACGGTTATCATTATCAAGCAAGTGATACCGCTATTGTAACTTATAAGTGAGTGATTGAGTGAGTATAGCTTAACGCCGCTTTTAGCAATATTCCAGCAATATCACGGCGGGGGACACCAGAAATGGGCTTCACACATTGTACCTATGTGGGGCATCGAACCCGGGTCTTCGGCGTGACGTGCCAACGCTTTAACCACTGGATTACCCCACCGCCCATGTAGCTGATAAGGAATAAATACACCCTTACATCTAAAAGCAATAGTGAGTAAGTTTAGTTTTACGCCACACTCAGCAATATTCCAGCTATATGGTGGCGGTCCGTAAATAATCGAGTCTGGACCACACAATCCAGTGATCAACAGCATGAGCATCGATCTGCGCAATTGGGAACCGATGACAAGTCAGCGAGCCTGACCACCCGATCCAGTTAGCTGCCTCTTACGACAAGCATGGGTTACAGAAGATCATTATTCTAACCCGGACCTTCACGGGTACTAAAAGCAATAGGGAAATGCAAAAAGACGTTGGGAAGATAACAATACTGACTTTGTTGTAAGCTAGGTAAGTCCGCCAAAAGTCTGATAGTCTTTAAATATGAATCATATTCGGCAAGTTGATGCCAGGGTATGACACCTGTTTACACTAGGAACTGACATTGGATAAAAGGAGAACCGTTTTGTCTACCTTCCGATGGACACGAAAGGAAAACATCAGTATAACATCTATAATTATGTATTTGCAAATGTTCGCTTTGGCGTAAGTAGGACTGACTGACTGACTGAGTTTGGTTTTACCTCGCTTTTAGCAATATTCCAGCAACATCACGGCGGGGGACACCAGAAATGGGCTTCACACATTGTACCCATGTGGGGATTCGAACCCACCGCCCCCGTAAGTAGGAATATCTCAATGATTAGAACTGTTTGTGACAGATCAACTACCGCTGCCAAACGTCCTGTCACGTTAGATGCCTTTGACTAAACACAGATGCCTCCCTCATCAGTGAAGCTGAAACAACCAACAATAGCTTGCTGCTGTGTTCAATCTGGTGTAGGGTCGAGTGCAGCACGATGAACACTACAGCGGATGTTGTTGCGTCGTATGATGTAAGTGAAGACGTTGACGATGATTGCAAAAATCATGCAAATGTTCATAAGATCTACACGAAAGTAATATGTTTGTCTAGGTGTGCTGCCTTGATCAGCTGTGCTTCACTTTTACACAGTATTTACTTGACAGACATCCTTAAAGGCACCCTGTCACACCACACTTCTCTAAAAATAAATTTCTCTCAATAATTCTAAGTATCAGCCCTCCTTATAATTTATTGCCCCCAAAACATTACGCATTATTTCGATTAAAATATTAATTTAAAAAGTTCGAATGAATTCATGCAAATGAAATCGACTCTCGCGCACTCCTGGCCAAACTCCTGGTTCAAGCGAACCCCATAGAGTTATGTCCCTTTGAGCGCTCTTTACGAATATCCCACGCACCACTTGTGATTGAAACCAATTCGGCAAACACTGGCACAAAAATATTGACGAAAATGTGTGACTTTGTTCCTTTAATTTAGTTATCTCTGCTTGAAATTGTTGTTTGGGTTTAAATAAATCTGCCGTATCTTGTGGTCTTCAGTATACGCAAGGGTTACTCTGTATCAGATAGACTAACGTTTAGTCTCTGAATATAAATAATTTGGATAGAAACAAGTAAGAATTGGGCATTGAGAACGTAACTTGCTTTATTTAGGGGTTCAGCATTGCAGGGCTGGGCGGTAGGGAAAATACTGCTGTTTTGGGACTGTGACACAGACTATGTATCAGATAGTGAAAAGGGTCTCGAACGTGTTAGCAAACACAGATATGCACATGAAAGTGCAGATAACAGAATGTGCGGAGCTCATATATAGACATAAAACAGACAGAGTCTAGGTCATTTGAGGGGAAATCGGTCAAGTAAATGTTTCGGGAACTAATGTATTTGTTGTACTAGAATCATTTGACAGACAGCTCATCTATTTATCGTATAATGTCCCGAGCGACGGTCTGGACAAGAGGAGTTACGTTGTACGTTAACCGTCACGTCTAGTACGTTCATTTAAAGTGGAAATAATATAAATATTAACGTCAACGCCAGAGAACAACCAGGCTTCACCATTTGACAAGTTCCTTCAAGTGCAGCGAAACAATACTAAAGCACATGACATTACAACGAACATTAAATCTTCTAATTATTCAAAGAGCATTAAACATAAAACTCCAATTATTCAATATATTAAATAACGTTTTTACTGTGTATCTTCGTGAAATCATTTTAAGCCATAAAATTAATATTTCACTCGAAAAATAAATACCCTTTCGCCACTGAACTACGTTATAAAAGTTACTAAGTAAGCATGTCAGTATTGCTTAACTTGCTATCTTTAAAAACTCTAGGTAGATAGGTAGGTAGGTAGGTAGGTAGGTAGGTAGTGAGTGAGTGAGTGAGTGAGTCCGTACGTGCGTGCGTGAGTGAGTGAGTGAATGAGTTTAGTTTTACGCTGCACTCAGCAATATTCCAGCTATATGGCGGCGATCTATAAATAATCGAGTCTGGACCAGACAATACAGTAATCATCAGCATGACCATCGATTTACGCAACTGCATACGTGAGTGAGTGAGTAAGTAAAATGTCCTTAATTTTCTATCTTTATAAACTTAACAACCCTCAACCAAAAACGCGCCAATCATTACCTAACCACATCTCACATGTTTTGTGGAATGTACTTTAGCTGTACTGCACAAACAAGTTGACAATCGGATCGACGCGTGTTACACAAGGACCTTTCTCATGTCGCCATCACCATGTACCAGCATCACCGTGTTGATGGCTCGGTGTAGCTGTAGGGCGGGGGGCTGACAGATATTCCCCGTGGAGCCAAGTTGTGGTTATTGGCAGATAAACTGGCATGAATAAAACATACAGCACATCATTCTGTGAGCCACGCGTTTTAATCACACTGGGCAGCTGTAGTCAACAGCATAGAAGCTTGATCACGACAGTCGCGAAAAAAGTGGACGCTAGTGTCGACACCGCTCTACCACGGGGACGTTGACGCATAATCAGTGAGGTGACTGTGATTGGATTTAACGCCGATTCAGACAATATGTTGCAGGTGGATCACGGCGTGAGTCAGCAGGGGGGTCAGTTTGGGGGAAAGATCAGGGTATTAGGGCTGCGCAATATAACCGGTTTACCGGTATTTACCGGTTCAGACATGATAATGATACGTATTGCGATACGCTGATCGAAAACCGGTATTTTGACTTTCATTCCAAACACTTCGTAACACTCGGAAATCTTCGGATATTTCCTTGTTCCATTTGTGCCAAATATTATTTACATTTTTATTGTCATGACTAAAAGTTTTTATTAAAGCTTAATCAAGCATAGTGATTGTGTTGTGTTCATGCTTTATAAATGAAGCATTAACTCGATTATACGTAGTTTTTGTTTTAAAATTCTTCTTGCAATATATTGCAATACATATCGCAATAAATGCTTACGCATCGCAATATATCGCAATATGAAAATTCTCTGCAATACCCACCCCTACAGGGTATGGTGCTATGTTTGCTTGTTGCAATTTTCCAGCTATATTACGGCGGTGTTTAATTATACCACTCTAGACTAGTCAGTCCAGTGATTAACAGCATAAGCATCGATCTATGCAATTGGGATACAATGACATGTGTCAACCAAGTCAGCGAGCCTGACCTCCCAAACCCGTCTGTCCACTCTTAGGACAAGCATGGGTCGCTTGTCTGACCAATTCTAACCCTGATCTTCACGGGTGTAAGGTTTTACATGACCGGGGGTT